TGATTCCTCGACTACAAATCCAACTCTTGATTCTGATGGGTGAAAAAGAACGTAGTGGGGTGCTTCCGAAAGGTCTTTGGGTTCTACAGCTTTGATTTTGTCAACTTCTTCCTCCAAATGATTCGGATGATAGCTCCTGGTGTTGTAATCAGAATGGCACCAATCGTTAAAAATTGGTCTCAAACCCTTCAAAATATTTATATATTTTTCCTTGTCTACCCAAAGATGAGCGTGATAGTTATCCTTTGGTTTGTATCAAGACCCGAAGTGCTGGAACAAAACAGCCAACGCTTGAAGGTCGTACTTTAGGACCATCGACTGGGCTTCCTCTATTACTTCTTTCTTTTGTGCTCCGTTTAATTCTTCATACGTTTTTATAGACTTATTGCGAGCTGCAATTATGAAATGAGGGCTGGCTTTGTAAGAGTCGAACAGCACATAATAATAATATATTTGTAATAATTTACCAATTTATATTGCGCGTATTTACATGTGCTGATCAATAGCGCTTTACAATCATATGTTTAAGAGAAAGCGAAAATTCATTACTGTGAAAATAAAATGAACTAAGTTACAGAAATAAAAATACTTTTTAAAAAGATAGGTTTTAAGTCGAGATTTAAAAGTGTTAAAACTGTTACTTGACGAAGCTCCATACGGTAGGCCATTCCAGAGTTTCGGAGCTGCTGTTGAGAATGATCTTTCTCCAAATGTTGTGAGCATCTTTCCATTGGGATGGTTCAATAAGAGCTTACCAGTAGACCTAAAATTGTATAATGAATTCGTTTTTATACTAATAAGATCACTTAGATAAGTTGGCGCTAGGCCATAAATACATTTCAAAACGTTACTTGAATAAGTAACGCGTTAGTAATGGCGGACGCTCCCCATGTGGCTCCGCTTATTTCGTTTCTCCTGACGCTATTTTTGGTCAACGTGTTGCTGAAAAACTCAAGAGATGGTATTATCTATCAGAGGCCTTCATTCGCAAATGGTCTTACCGTCCTGGCCGCTACATTCCCAAGGATAAGTCACCGAAAGTTCGTCAAATCTGGAAAATCGATGCTTCGCCGTCGCTATTCTACCAGAAAATATCTATTCATTCTTTTCATTCTAATATCTAACGACATTCAACTGAATCCTGGGCCTCTCAATTCCTCGACTCTCAAATCATGCAGTCTAAATGCCCGTAGTATTGTCAACAAGAGAACTGAGCTGCAAGCTGTGGTCGCTACAAAGGAATTAGACATCATCGCTATAACCGAAACATGGCTGAACCCTGAAATAATGGATCAAGAAATCCTGTCATCTGATTATAATATCTACCGAAGAGATCGCCTAGGAAAAGGTGGCGGTGTTTTGTTAGCTCTAAGGGATAACATTTGTTGTTATAGACGTTGTGACCTCGAAACCGACTGTGAAATCCTTTGGTGTGAAGTTCATTTCAATCCCTGCTCAACATACTTTATTGGAGTATACTATCGCTCTCCTAGCAGCGATATGGCCTACCTAACTAAACTGGTTCAATCGCTAGAAAAATTTCCACCATCATGTAATATCCTTTTGCTTGGGGATTTTAATCTACCTAATGTGAACTGGAACCTTGTAGCTCCATGGCAGCCGGACACTATCAGCGATTTCTTTTGCGACTCTGTTATTAATCGTTTTGGCCTCTCACAACTTGTGAATAAACCTACCAGAGGAGACGCTTTATTGGATTTAATCTTAACCAACACTCCTGCTCATTTGGCTAATGTTGAGATAGACTGTGGCCTTGGAAATTCAGATCATAACGTTGTTTTTTTCGACTTTAATGTCTTTATTTCCCGTCCACATCAAGCTCCAAAGATCGTTTACGATTACAAAAATGCAAATTGGGAAGGTTTTCGCTCTCATCTTTCCAATGCCCCATGGGGCAATGTATTCTTAGAGAACAATGTTGATCAAATGTGGACTAAATGGAAAGAATTGTTCTTTGCTGCTGTTAATAAAAACATCAATACACATCATTTGAAAAGAAAAAGAAATGTTCCTTGGTTAACATCTGCAATTCGTCGCCTTTTTCACAAACGGAAACGCTTATGGAAAAAAGCTAAATCATCTCAACTTCAATCTGACTGGGAAAAATATAGGCAGTGTAGAAACAAAGTCAAATCTGAACC